CTTAAAACGTAGAACAATAAATAAAGAAGTAAAGCAAACAATTATCTCTTCTAGTTACAACCTTTGTACTCATTTGCTGCTTTTTGTAGGTTGCTAAGCTCTATAAAATTTTGCACGTGGAGGATGTGAAACAAAGTATTTTTTTTTAGGTTTTATATACACATTTGAAATAACCAAAAAATAATAAATTAATATATCAATACCATAGTATTCCACTAATTTTATTCCTCAATGTCCTGCCAAAAATGGCCCATGTCTGTTGATAACAACACATACAGACATGTTTACGTGTTTTTTAGAGCCGAACATGATCAACACTGTGTGGCGGAGGTATATGCTCTACTTAGTGCCCCTGCAGTTTTTTTGTTATCAAATCAGTAGCTTTCCTATAGTTCTGAAAATCTTCCAACCTATCCCTCAATTTAAGCTTATCGTGTTTATCTCTGATTTTATAGTAAACAAATTACATTTTATCCTTGTTTTCTTAGAAATTTGCCTACCTTGAACTAAAAGCAATTAATTTTCAAAAGGAGGCCTTAAACTGGTAACTGAAATTAAGCCAACTACTATACAAGCAGTGATCAAAGCTTCTAACCTTGAAGGTTTTGTAATTGGTCAGTTTACAATTCCAATCTGACTTCTAATACATAATCCGAATAAACAAAATCATGTCTGACTTTACAAGTATATCCAGAACATTATAGTATAATACCACAATTAACTGAAGTTAACACAAAGATAGTGAATTACAAACACCTTGTTCAGAAATAACATCGAGATAAGAAATACGGCGATAGCCATCAAAGTTTGGAAATCATTTGATCATACAAATCAGACATTTTAAAATCAAAACTACTTAAAAACCACTGCTACATTTTTCCATTTTCATTTTGAACAGGTGAACATATCACGATTTCACCTCATGGATCGAGTCACATTTATCTATGAATATTTCAGTACACAAAACTGATATTCAACCACCAACACCAATGAAAACAATATCTCCACTGGTATATATTCTACAAAAACATCACATGCTTATATATTCTAGTCTAGGACCAAACTGTACATGGGATTCCCACACTTTCAGCAGATACCTGTTCAAGAATAATTACAGAATTTGTGCAGAATATTTTTATAAATTTCAAGATTTATTTCATGCTATTTATAGAATTTCTAGCATAAAATTCGTCTGCATGAATATCACTATCCACCATCAATAATGCGTTATTTTCATAGGGTTAAAAGAGTGAAATTGCAAAATACTTGCCAAAAATAAATTTACTGCAATTTTTTTCTATAAAAATATAACATTCCAAATAATGATTTTTATACCTATCTACCTTCTGTTGGATATTGTTAAACCTGGCTCTTACCACATGCTCACCGACATGGTACTGGGGAAACAATTTAAAGGGAAGAATTTGAGTAGGGGAGAACACAATAGGAGTGTGCAGAACAAACAGGAATAATCTGATCTGTATGAAGTCGCTCACTGAGAGACTTTGATTAGACAGCAGGAGCTGGCCACTCATTTTTCTTCTTCTTGGAAGATAAATAGGTGTATATATGTTTCAACAGTTGACATTGAAATAGTTAGCTCCTTCATCTAGTACACTATCATAGTGTTTTGGGACTAATTTACACTCTGGAGTATTTTGAAACCAACTTAAAAACACTACTCTTAGGCTTATAACACCACAGTTTTGTAGTCCCAAAACACTGTTCAGTATCAGAAAATTCCGTATTTACGTAAACCAAATGAACTAATACTACAGAAGCACAAATACATTGTTAGGCCAAAACACCTAAAACAAACATGTCAGCAAATGGATAAACTTCATTTGACTTGATAAAACTATTACATTCTGAATATCAGTTTTGGACAGAATTATCAGCTATGTCTACTGTGCTTCTTTTGACAGAAGAACTGGTAACTCTCTGATACAGTGTTCATAGACAAAGTCAATTTTTTTCTCTGGACAGCTTACATGGTCCAATGTTCACACCAACACTCAACATTTTATGATAAATACAATCCAAAAACACTGCTTTCACACTTCAGCAGTTAATACATGAAACTCATTGTTCCCTACAGTCCTTGAATTATGCAAATCCTGAAGTACTTCCAGCATCAGAGCTGAGGAGACTACTGTGTCACATCCTACAATCATGACTACATTAGAGCTGAGGGGACCGCTGTGTCACATCCTACAATCATGACTACATCAGAGCTGAAAGGACTGTTGTGTCACATCCTACAATTATGATTACATTAGAGCTGAGGGGACTGCTGTGTCACATTCTACAATCATTACTACATGAGAACTGAGGGGCTGCTGTGTCACATTCTACAATCATAACTACATTAGAGCTGAGGGGACTGCTGTGTCACATTCTACAATCATTACTACATGAGAACTGAGGGGCTGCTGTGTCACATTCTACAATCATAACTACATGAGAACTGAGGGGCTGTTGTGTCACATCCTACAATCATGACTACATTAGAGCTGATGGGACCACTGTGTCATATCCTACAATCATGACTACATCAGAGCAGAGGGGACCACTGTGTCACATCCTACAATCATGATTACATCAGAGCTGAGGGGACTGCTGTGTCACATCCTACAATCATGATTACATCAGAGCTGATGGGGCTGCTGTGTCACATCCTACAATCATGATTACATCAGAGCTGATGGGGCTGCTGTGTCACATTCTACACTCATGGTTAAATCAGAGCTGAGGGGACCACTGTGTCACATCCTACAATCATGATTAAATCAGAGCTGAGGGGATCACTGTCAGTGATCTACAATCAGTGTATTACTCACGTACTCTATCCCATGTTCCACACCATCCAGAATCTACAATCAGTGTATGACTCTATCCCATGTTCCACACCATCTTGAATCTACAATCAGTGCATGGCTCACATACTCTATTCCATGTTCCACACCACCCTGAATCTACAATCAGTGTATGACTCACATACTCTATCTCATGTTTCACACCATCCTGAATCTACAATCAGTGTATGACTCACATACTCTATTCCATGTTCCACACTACCCTGAATCTACAATCAGTGTATGACTCACATACTCTATTCCATGTTCCACACTACCCTGAATCTACAATCAGTGTATGACTCACATACTCTATATCATGTTCCACACCATCCAGAATCTACAATCAGTGTATGACTCACATACTCTATTCCATGTTCCACACTACCCTGAATCTACAATCAGTGTATGACTCACATACTCTATAATATGTTCCACACCATCCAGAATCTACAATCAGTGTATGACTCACATACTCTATACCATGTTCCACAGTATCCTGAATCTACAATCAGTGTATGACTCACGTACTCTATCCCATCGTCCACACCATCCTAAATCTAAGAAGTTCAATGAAACTGATAAATCAAAGTAGGAAAAAAAAAGATAACTTATTTAATGTGCAAATTTACTGACGCTTAAAACATGAGAAACGTACTAAGACACGTGAAATACATAAATTGGTGGTGAGTTATGGACTTCCTACTGAAAACTGAATAAATGGAAATTTGCTTTACTTATTCAGTTTTTGCTTGTTTTGATGGCAGCATTTAGTAGTCATTGTGGCTTTGAAATGGAGTAATAAACTAATACTACAGGATTTCTAAAATCAGGTTGAAAAGACCTAGGGTGTAATTTTTACAGTAATTATTAGTAAGCTCAATATTAAGTTGTGTAAGTCATACCCAATGTTTCTTACATTTAAGTTGACATTAGGAATAAAGACTAAAGCATAAAAAAACCCCAAGATTATAAATATGTGTTCCACACTCTCATATGTGGGCAAAGAAAATCCACCTATTCTTTTCCTTCCTTATGTAACACTTAATTTCATTTCCAATAGATAACGCATGGCAATTTGATCCATCTAGGCCATCTAATTTCCTATTATCATCATACTACAAACTACATATATGAAACATTACTTTCGAAAATGCTCTTTCAATCCACTTTTAAACACCTTCAACAATGTTGTAGCTTCTAAACTTTTAGCACACCTGAGGCTGAAGGCAACTATTCCGTAAAACAACCACCCTAGATTTTGTTTATTATTAGTATCAGAAGTGAAACAACGCCTTCATTTGGGTAGTGTTTTGAACTTTATTAACTTGTAGAAAAAAAAATATATTTCGTCCTCCACGAAGAGAACTGTCAAACACTCGGTTTTTAATTATCATTTTTCAATATAGTCTCAAGCCGACTCTAGCCTCTAGGTTTCCTTGCTTCGGTCCTTTTTTAGGCTCGTTAACCATTTATTAATCATTCAACGACAACGTAGATAATCAGTGTAAATTTACAATATTCTTGTATTACTATACGATGATGAATGATAACCATTTCGTCACTGTCGTGTGCTTGTTAAGGCTAACCGCAACATTTTAATTTAACTTTTATTAATACTTAAATTAAAAAAAAAGAGGTTAATTACTTAAAACAGTAAATACTGATAATTAAAACTCTCTCACCTAGGTCTATAACTGGTTCCTTTTCCCATATTAACTGTTCTTGGACCTGGAGAAATTCTGGAAGATTTCATATTGAAAATTTAATTTGAATACGAGTATTTACTTTTTTAATAGTCGAAACCTCAAGTTACTTAAGTTAAAAACATGAACATAAACTTACTTTCAACTCGCGCTTTTAATACAGCGCCCTCTTTAAATATACATATCTGTACACGTAAGTAGAATAAAGGGTAAGAATTAATAAATATGGTGTTATGATTGATTTTCAATATACATTGATACTAGAGTAAAAGTTGCTTCAAATAACAAATTAGAAAACTGGAAAAAAGATCGCCTTTCAAGACTGCTTTATTTGTATTTAGTTTTATCTCCTGTTTTGCTAAGAAATTGTGTAATAAAATTACCATAGAAATTTACAATGATTCTTTTTTATAATGTTACGACAGCGGAGGTCATGTGACCCTAGTAACACGTCATGCGCTTCTAGAATGTTCATGAAGTCTCGGGAGTTTATAAGATTTCGGTATTCTTGTATATATAAGACGGTCAAGACGTGACAGCAACAATGGGTAATTGAACTGCAGACAGAGAGAGAGGTATTGTTGAGTTGAGCACTTGAGACGTTCGTTGTAAATTATAGCGTGACAGTGGAAATTAAGTGTATTGCAAAGTTGTATTTAGAAAGAATAAACCAGTTTTATTTAAGAAAGGACTTGTATCGCTAAAGTTTCTTCAGAAAGAAATTATACGGAAAATTAACTAACGACCAGAGACGTAACAATAACTTATATATGTTGCTCCTACAATTACCATATTTTCCTTATTAGTCTAGCTTGAAAAGGATAACTGCATAGTTAGATAATTTTCTTCGTATGTACGTGCTATTAAAGCATTAATATATATTCATATATATGAAATCGTTTTCTTCAGTACTGATCTTATTTCACGTGCTAGTTATACACGGTCAAGTGCCTTATTTGGTGATGCTGAAAGAAAAAGTTGAGTTTATCGACTCATGGATGGCAGCATAAGTATTAAGCTATCGATGTTCTTGTTGATTGATAGTTTTTAGCGCAATACTACACAGAAGGCTATCTGTGCTCTGTCCATTGCAGTGGAACAAACTCCCTCGTTTAGCTTTGCGCGAAATTCAAACAAACAAACTATGCCTTTTGTTTAAGAGATTTATAATGCTTATCGCTGACCTCTTGATCTTCTCTTACTTTTTAGTTTTCTTTAAATTATGAAATTTTTCTATATCCTTTTATTAATTCTTATCACTTATCTCTTTGAAATTTTATTTTTCTATATCTTTGTTCTCGATCTTTTATTTTCATATATCTTTCTCATTGACCCTTTTTATTTTTATATATATCTTTCTCATTGATCCTTTTTATTTTTATATATCTTTTTTCTTGATTTAAAAATTTTTGTGTCACTTTTTCTAAATCTTGTTTCAATGCTTTGTTTCTTTCTGCCTGTCCTTCTTTCCACTGCATGTTTCATACTACCAGTGTGAAATACTGACGTTGTCTTGTTTTAGTTTATTTGTTTCTTTGCTCTCTACAACAGATAAGTCTACTCTGCCTGATGTTATATTGTAGTAACATCACACACTCATGTTGGATGGGTCATTGACTAATATCTATTGCTAGCTGAATATATTATGTCGGTATGTTACAGCCAGCAAATACTGTAAAAGAACAAGAGTAAGAAGGCTGTGTTGTTGACTGAACAAAGAAACTGAAGTTACCTGTTAGTTTGAAGATTTTGTTACGACAGTGGAATTCACGCGACGCTGGGAACATGCGCGCTGGAGTTTCTCGATGGATCATGAATTATTGAGGAACCCCGCGAATGTCCGAGTGTTTGCCAGGCGCCCTCTTTTTAGTATATAAGCCCGGAAAATAAAGCCAGCGATCAGAAGAGATATAGATAGATTGAAGAGATAGATAATTGAGTCAAGCGAACAGTAGGCACCGTAAGTAACGTGTGTGAATCACTGTGATTTATAGCGTGTGTTATAAAAGTTGTTAAGTGACTGTGGAAATTCTGTGTATTGCAAAAAATTTATATCGACGAAGAATAAACTAGTTTTAATGTTTTTTGTTTGTAAGTAAGCACAAAGCTACACAATGGGCTATCTGTGCTCTGCCCACCACGGGTATCAAAACCTGGATTCTAGCGTTGTAAGTCCGCAGACATACCGCTGTGCCATTGGAGGGGATGGCTTTTATATTTTTAAAGACAAAACTAGATATCAATTAGAAAATCTTACAAATTATTCGAACACGAGAAGATTTGTCAAATCCTACCAAGAGGAGACCAACTATCGTATTGAAAAGTGTTTATATTACTTTGGGATTTTTTTTTTTTTTAATTTCTGTTTGTGATAAAGGTTATTGTGGCCATTTGACTAAGACTTGGTATTTTGTAGAATAGTTTTCGCACGAGTACTTGAAGTAATCTCAATTTGAAACTTTTTAAATATTTGATGTAAATATTGCCCGTTTAATCTCTATTAAAATTTAAATTAACTATATATTTAATACGAATTCCTAACGTTACCCCTGGCAGGTCTGCTGTAAAAGTGTAATGAGTCATCACTGTTAGGCTTAGCGTAATCTTATCGTGATCAAGTATACGTTAAAATTTAAAAAGATTAATATGTCACTAAATTGCCCGAGTTGTGGAAATGATACCGTAGAGAGTGGTGAATATTACGCTCAGGTAAGCCTGAATTTTATTTCTTGGCTTAGCAATGGTGTATGACATTTCTATGACTTCAAATTCAACTTGAACAAGAACTTCAAGTCATCTAGTACTATAGTACAGACCAGTGGTCGGCAACTTTTTTTGATCGCGGGTCAATTATTATTTTTTTTAAATTTAGCATTGTGTTGGGTCAGTGATAATCATATATAATTATTAATACCGGTACATGTATTTTAAATGTGTATGTTTACTTACATAACAAAAAAAAAAAATAATAGTTCGACCAGTTTGATATTTTTCCCTGAAATTGATCTTAAAATTCTCCGTAGCCGTGACTCTTTCCCAACTTTTCTTTAATATCGTTGTTCTTCTAACATAGCCGAGAAACTTGAACTGAACAATGATTGTGCCCTTACGGGTTGCAATGGTGAAGCCAACTTTTTGCGGGTCAGCCAAATTAAGTGACCCGCGGGTCATATGTTGCCGACCACTGATATAGACTATTGAGTATTGAGCTTTCGTAGTCTTGACTTGTAACTAGAGGATAAAGTTTAACTTCAGTACTTGTAAGTTGTAGTACTCGTAACTTGTTTAACATAGTATTTTTGGAACTGTGTAATTATTGAAACTTGGCTTCAGAAGCTGTAATATATATATTATAGTACTAGACATTGCAGTCCATTATTCATATTTATGTAGTTGAAAAGTGGGAGCATAAATTGAGGTAATTTCACCAAAATTGACCTTTACAATAGTGTATTTATTGACAAGCGTTTAGCCAATACTGTCAGTACAAACAAATTATGAAGTGAGGCAAGTGCACCCAGATATAAAATGTCAAAAGACAGAGTGATGATTTTGGCACATGCTAACATCAGTGGAAATCACAAGCTGCCTTTGCTACTCATTGGAAAATCAAATAAGCCTCAGGCATTCAAGAATGTGAAATAACAATAAGAGTAAAGCATGGATGAATGCTCAAGTGTTTTTAGAATGGTATGATGCAACCTTCATTACTGAGGTTAACAAAATACCAAAAGAAAGTTGAAAAAGTCAAGAACTTATCCTTTTTCTAGTCAATATACTATCTCATCCTTCAGCTGAACTTCTGGAATGTCAACAAAGTACGCTTTATTGGATTTTTAAAAATTCTTGGTCTCAAAAAATACTATACTTCAGAAAGCATGGAATAAAATTTCAAATTTAATCTAAAGAGGAGGCCAGAGATAAAGAAGGAATTGTTAAAGACGTAGCAGTAGAACTGAAAGAAATCCGTGGATTGTAAATTAAAATATGTCAGAGAGTAAATAAACTGTGATGCTGATGACTGGCTATCAACTATTACTAGAGGAGGAGTTCATGGAAATTGCACAAAAAGATGAAGAATTTCAACAAGAAGATAAGGAAGATGATGATAAAGATCATAAGGGGCTGTCACATGATGAGGCTTTGAAATGGCTGGACACTGCAGTGACATGGTTGGAGGGGCAGAAAGACTGCGACTCTGTTCAGCTGGTGTGTTTGAAAAGATTGCATGATTTAGCTAAAAATCAACAACAACAATGGGTCTTCCATAAAACAGCTGTCAATCACTCAGTTCTTGTTGAAATAAATTATGGTTGTGTACATATGTACTCAGTAGTGGTATGTAGTCAGTTGTTTAGCGTGTATGTTACACAGGTAAATGGAATCATTTCTTACTTACACCTTAAATAATTTTTATTTGTATTAACTGTACGTATTAATGATAGTGTAAAATATATGTTCAAGATACAATTTTTTATTAATGTCCCAATATCTGGATTTTCATTCATCTGGACCACCCTTGGTCCCATTTAGTCCAGGTATTTGATGCTCTACTGTATATACTTGTAATTGGCTACATCTTTAAGGGCCAATTTACTTTCTGTCACCTAGATATTTTGTGTTCCTGTGTTAACCCCTTTTTATAGTTCATGTATTAAAACCTTACATGTTATATTTAGCTTAGCTTTAACAAAAGTTTTCTTCACCTTTTTACATATTATTTTCAATATTAATATAAACTTGGATTTGTGGTTCTTTCATTCATCCATTTATAAAAAACAACTTTGGTCTGAAATACCAGTTTTGATGCTTAAAGTATAAAAATGTTTTATTGGGTGTGTGTCTTCATTTTTTCCACTTTGCTCCTCTCCACGGTCTCAAGGAGTAACCATGCTGTTTATGGGTTGTTGCAGCAATATTTGGATTTGTTATACAAACAGCTTTTTCCTTTTTTTTGGAGAGACCTAATTCTTGTAGCTTTTGTTTAGATAATATTTTTCATTCTTATTTTAATATTTTAATGTTGCATTTACTTATAATTGTAACAAATAAAATATAAATAAGAATTAAACTATGTATATACTTGTCAGCAGTTGTTGTAACTACTTTAGTGTAAACACCTTAAGAAAGCTCAAGACTGAAAAATGTGTGCTACTTATAAATCATAGTTTTTATTATTTTATTGAGTGTTGATTACTGAATCTATTGAAATTAGATGCAATTGTGAGCAGTATTTTATGTTTATAATTCTGCTGGTTTAGTTAATTGGTTTATATTCTATTCTACAAGTTTTTGTGCCTTAACAATCTTTAAGAACTCTTTATTTTGATTTGCTGCTTAGTATAAAAAATTTTCTCTAGAATGTTTTAATTAACTGAACTTGTGTTATTATTTTTGTAACTGCCAATTTGTTGAAAAAACAGTAATTATAGTACATGAAGTCAACAGTAATTATTGTACATGAAGTCAACAGTAACTTTTTTTTTTGATGCAAGATTATATTTTGGCCTCCTAGTGTTATATCTGACTGGGACTTAATTCATATTGCACCTTTTACTCATTCATTTTTTATGATTTAATTATTGTATCTTCATTTTATTGTAATTTATCTATTATTATAAATATCTGAGTTATACTTGAAGGTAATCCATCTTGTAATGTATTTGTGTTTTTGTTCTAGAAGCTACTTTTTTAATTTTATATGCATATGTACTATAGTTACTGAGCCTCTTCTTTGCTGTTTCTAATTATATAGCATTTTGTTAAGTTACTGTACTAATCTCATTAGGAAGCAATCACCAAGTCTCATTTTATGTTAAATAGTTATAAGTTTAGCTCCAAATTTTGTTTTTCTAGCTGGAGAGCTTACCACTGTAATATTTTCTGCCTGTCTATTTTTTTCTATTATAGTTTTATAACATGAGTGCATCAAAGTATTTTTTCTGCTGAAATTTCATTATAATTGAGGTTGTGTGTTTAGAAGTTATGCATGATCAATATAGTTAAATGTTTTTAAACTAAAGACTTGCAATAAGGATATTTATGTGTTTCTAATTTTCAGAAGTTCTATGTCTGTTCTTGCTTTTCAACAATATTAAAGGAGGTTTATTGCATGTGTACAAAACCCTTTACACAAACATTCTTTAAAAACTCTGTGTATATGTGACATGTGCAGATTGTTCTGTATGAGTTAATAAGTTTCAAGTTTTAGTATCAAACACACACACAGATACTGAGGAGATATAATAAATAAATAGTGTAAAATTGACAATACTTTGAAAAAAAAGTCAAATTATTTTATCATTCATTAAGTTTGTCATAACACTTTTTACAGGATCACCTTGTGTGTACATCATGTGGAACTGTTATTGAAGAAGACAGCTTTGAGAATTCATCATTACTGGATGGGACAACACTTGTAGCTGCTAGTAGAAACAAACATACTTCATCTGTACAGCTGAGTATTAAAAATGTACCAAAGTCATTCCTCCAGATTGCTTTCTACAAGAGAACGGGAAAGAAGGTACAAGCTGGTTTAAACAAATCTAAGGACTTGGCTTCTGCTTTTAAGTTTAACCAAGATATGACAAATGAACTTACAGATCTATATTCTGAATTGGTAAAGACTGAAGTATTCTTCTTTCGTAAACAGAAGGTTAAGGAAATCTTAGCAGGCTGTTGTGCTTATAAAGTTATGAGAGAAAGAGACATAGCTGTGTGTGTATCAAGCATTTGTAACTTTTTGGATTGCACTGCCAGTGAATTCAGTTTAATATACAAACAGTTTTTGAATGTTTCTTCATTTAAAATCAGAAGTACCAGTGCCCAACAGCTAGTTCCAGTTGTTTTAAGTGATCTAAAACTAGGGGAAGAAGCCGAAGATATGTCAAAGAAAACATTAGAGATTATTAATTTAGCTGACAAGTTGGGGTTTACCAGTGGTCGAACAGCAACTCCTATTGTTATTGGTGCTGCATTTTTGGCATGGCAGGCTATGAATATTCAAAGAATGAAAACAAGTTTCCAGACATTTTGTTCTGTTGTTGGGCTTTCCAAGTTGGTGACAGCTCGTCGTAGAGCTTTAGAGTTAAAGCATTTACTGGTGGATTTGGGTAAACAAATTCCTTGGTTAACTGCAGACAGAGTAACAGTTGCAAATGTTATATTGCATATAGACTCAATCATTAAGTATTCTTATGCCTTCATAAAAGATAAGTCAGCATTGTCAGATAAAGGTAAAAAAGATAACAACCAGAACCCTGATGTGGTGGTTAGCTCCAAACGTGAACTTGTACAAGGAGAAAGCTCAGCTGGCTCTTGTAAGAAACAAAAGAAAGAAGAACTTAGCTATGAAGCAGGTTATGTCAGTGATGACATATCTGATAGTGAGATTGACAGTTATATCAAATCAGACACAGAAATTAAGGAATATGAAAAATTACTTAGTAAATTTGAACAGAAGTGATAAGTAAGGAAATTTGGTGATTGTGTGCTTAATGGATAAGTTATACAAGTTATTGTAACAAGTATCTTAAAAAAAAGAACAACTTAAAAGTAAACAGTGTCATTTATGAAAAGTTTATAGTTATGTGTGAAATAAACCTGGTAGATGCATGAACATTTTATGCTATGTATTTTAATTATCTTTTAGAAAACATTACATTAGGTGCAAGTATTAGCATTGAGTGATTCAAACAGCTTTGATGTACAAGAATTGTTGTTTTAAAATCACAAAAATGTGTATAAGAAATTTGTAATATTAACTTGTGTATTGGTAAAAAAGCTAAGTGTGCTGTTACTTTGACAGTTTATCCAATTGTGCTATATCAGAAGGAATTTCCCCTATCATTTCGGCTGACTTTTTTTATGTATTTCACCCAAAACAGTTTCCATTCACTGAGAAGCATTTCAACAGGAGATAATTATTTCTGATTGTCGTCCCTCTTTAAGATGACCATCTAAAAATGTTCATCCTTCTGTCTTACTTTCATCTTCTAATTCTTAGTTGTACCCTTGGTAATTTGATCATATTTTCCTTTGTTACTGGTATTGGATGGACTGTATCATGATATCTATGTTCCCAGTGTTTTTATACTTTATTTTCTTGGCTAAAACTTTGATTACAACAGAAGGTATTGTGTGAAATACCTTGACTGATCATGATTCTCATTCTGAACTTCTTTTATTTACTATCAGGGTTCATTGTTATTTTTAGATGTGCTGAAATTTTCAGAGGGTCTCGGATAAGGGTGTTTATACCATGGAATAAATCATAAACATTGGATCTTGCTCTGGCTGTGTTAAGAAATTGATTTGTGCAGATGAACCACTTTGTTTACTGAGAGGTTCCATTACATCTTAAAAGTGAATTTGGGTTACACCCCACAAAAATTTGCCATTTAGTGATGTCTTTGGCATCCAAGTCACATCTGGTTGCAATTCTTTAAGCCAGATAGAATCTCTAACAGGTGGCTTTTTTCTCTGTTCATGGCTTAGTTAAAACAACTAGGCCTACATTTCTGTTGAGCATAGTAATTCTGATTATTGAGGTATTGCTGTAAGGCTCAACACCCCCTTTAACAATTACAGGGATGCCTGGGGTTGTGGAAATGTTTATTTAGAAACATGGTTCTCCATGAGAGGATGATCCTCTGGAAGTGGACTGTTGAATGGCTTTTGGTATCTAATGATGCCTTGGTGGGTACCTATGTTCCTAGCCTTGCATAGTATTGAGGCACTGGAGACAGAACAATAGCTCTTCACCTAGTGTTTGTCTTGTAGCTCCTGTGAAGATGTAGCTCTTCACCTAGTGTGTGTCTCGTAGCTCCAGTGAAGATGTAGCTCTTCACCTAGTGTTCGTCTTGTAGCTCCAGTGAAGATGTAGCTCTTAACCTAGTGTCTGTCTTGTAGCTCCAGTGAAGATGTAGCTCTTCACCTAGTGTCTGTCTCGTAGCTCCAGTGAAGATGTAGCTCTTAACCTAGTGTCTGTCTTGTAGCTCCAGTGAAGATGTAGTTCTTAAACTAGTGTATATTTATCTTCTTTAGTCTAGTTAGTATTCTTATTCCATTTAAATTGTAGAACTCATCCTCAAGTCTACCATGTCTTTCTAATTCCATTGGTGCTCATTGATAGGGATGGTTTTTGTGACTTGACTATTGTGGTTGTAGGAGGTACTAACCTCAGGATCATATCCAGTCTAGATATTATTGGTCTGATCTTCACTACAGGTGAAGGACAAAGCAATGCAATTCGATTTTGACTATATGTGACTACGCCTTTGAATGTGATGTCTTCACTCATTTTCATAGTAATCCACTCTGGTTCTGGTTTCCCTTCAACTCTGATTGCATTTTCCATTGTTAGGGTCAAAGATGTTATCTTCCTGCCTAGAAATCCTAATTTTAGTGACTTTCATCTCAATATGAATATTTAATATTTCAGAGGTAAACTGCCTGTTTAGAATTTTACAGATAAGTACCCATTTAAAATTTATAAATTTTTTTATCCATTTAGCACCTTATCAAAGCTATGATTATGGTGCAAGCTGTATTGTTAATCCTACTGTATGTTATACTTCATTTTAAGTTGTTTCAGACTTGATAAAGTAGCAGACACAATAAAACTGTAATAATAGTGTAATGTCTATTACTAAGTAAGGCAAAGTTAGTGTTCAACCTTTTCACGATTTATTGTAATATGATAATTAAATGTTGTGCTCATTAATCAATGACATTCAACTAATTGATTATTCTCATGTGATTTAGGTAGTTTGAATAAATTAAAAAATTAATTGGAAACGAATTTTGATTAGTTGATTATTTCATGAGTCATGACACTAATAGACAAGATGAACAATCTTTAATTATTTGAAAATAAGGATATGAAATCATCATGGTTATGATGAAGGAATTAGCACAAAGGATCACCAAAAAAATCAAAAGACCCAGAAACCTGAAATCTTTTTAATAGTTGACTGTTCTTAGGGAGTAAATGGCATAGTTGACTGTTTGAAAGTGCTAGTTTCTGGGTCTTTTAAAATCATCACAATATTTTGATTACTTGAATACTTGAAACAATCCGATTAGTTTATTATCTTATGTGACAGTAATCTACACTCACAGATGAACAATTGAGTGAATCACTTGGCTCTATTGCTTAATTATGGTATCAACTGTCTTCTTACTTCACAAAGAAATTACTTAATACTATCAAGCCATTTATCTGGCTTTGCCTCACTCAACTAAATGAAAAATGTACCTGTCATATACTGTTGTTTCTACATTATAAAGTGTGCTTTAAAAGTAAAAGAATGCTGAAAAATAAGTGATCACAATACACTTAAAGATTAGATGAAACTGTGAGAATGAGATAATTTAAAATCTTGTTTCTGAAACAGTTAAGTGTCTGATCCAAAAACGAATATTCCAACTGCTTGTTTGTTATTGCTACTAATTACTAATCAAAATTAGGATATAAGAAAAACTAAACATACAAATCAGTTGTTCATTCCAAGTTATGAGAAGATTTGAAATAAACTCGATTATGGATATGTTAAGAAAACAGATTAATTACATCTAAAATTGAAAACAATTGCTAACATTTAAAAAAATGGGAGAATTTGAGTTAACTGTAGTCTTTAGTTAACTTTAAGTTTAACACTAAACTTTACCTGCAAACAACTTAAATTTTTAATAAGCTCATTTATAAACATTAATAGTTTTGTGGGTATGGTGAAACAGTTTACTTAGTATTTATGATTTGCATTATTATTATCAAATTTTACATTGTAAAAATCTGTATTTATGTAGCTTTTGATGATGAAAACAATAATTTAACAGACAGCACAATAAAAAGTATTTGTTACTTAGATATTTGCCAGTTCTAAACTCAAACCTTAATCCAAAACTAAACATAATACAATTATATCTCAGTCACAACAATTACCAGGCTTTAGCTAAACCTAACGACTACTACCTAACCTAAATAAGTATGATCTAAAAATATAGCAAGGAAACACTTCACTGTTGTACCATCAGGATTTATTGTTGAGTTTCTGGAAGGATAATGTGTGTAGTAGCCCTTGGATGATCACTTGAACAAAAATAATGGAATTTTCTGAATGTAGAAGTATTCAAGACTGATAGAGAGATGGTTGTATGGAAGAGATGTTGAGTCTAAAAAAAATTACTGCTTAAACCTGGTGCCTTAGACCACTTGAACAGATGGTATCCCTAATGATCAGTCTTGGTAAAAGGGAAGCACAGATGACCGAGATTTACAGGATTGGATTGCATCTTGTGAGTTCGAATTTACATGGGGATGTCTTTACTAAACTCAAAGGACTTCACCATTCAAAGCACAGCAGCCCCAGCTCTAGTCAAGACTACTGGAAGTAATGGACAGATGCTAGACATATCAATAGTAGAAGATTTCCATTTAGCATTGTCTCCCAGACAGGGTAGGCAACAGACACCTATGGTGACTACTGTGATCCATGGGGTGAAGTATCTTTCAGGATGTAAAAATTCACCATGACATCAGTGTTAGCTCGTGACAGCTGGGTCATGCATGAGCCATATTGAGTATTTCATCACCCTGGACCTAAAACTGACCACCCATTGGGGGTGTTGGAATTCCTGTGATTGGATTTCACACAGAACTGAAAACATTGGTAGCATTTCTTCCTGGCATCCATCAGGATTATACGAGAGAGGCCCTGTGAGCAAGGATAAGCACATCACACCTCCAATGTTCAAGAGGACAGCAAGATATGACCTGGAGACTGATTCCAAAAATGTTTCAGATAAGTTACTTCCTGGAATGGATGGACGTAGGAGCAGGAAAACAACTGGGCAACCATCATGTACCAGCTGCATCACTGATTCAACCAAGTAGAGAATTGACTGATTCATTAGGCTGAGCTCAAGGATAAGCACCGAGAAACTGGCCACCTACAAAGATTATCTGTGCCAGTTGTATGAGAAGGCATACCCAGCAATGGCCTTTGTTCCCAATGAGCTTATGTGACAACAACATCACTTTCACAGAAGCTGTGTCCATTGTGTCATACTTTGAAGTAATCACTTCAAACCAGCAATAAGAGAGGCAAGTGTTATGGTAATTCTATTGGTGGATGGTGTGACTCGGGTACCTCCACCACAGTGGGCTAAATCCATTGGAGGTTTAACAACCAGCTGCCTCAACAGGATGGAAATATGAGCCAATCACACTGTTCTTCAGTGAGTGGGCAAGTCTGTGCAAATCTTTCCATGGGGTACTTGCTGCAGCAAGGCCTGTTCACAAGATATATACCACAGAAAGATGCACCAATGAGGTATGAGCCATCACAAGGGTACATGTAACTGCAAGGTCCACCCATGGAATACATACTGCAGCCAAGGCTAATGCCCCTGCTTGGAAACAATATATGATGTGAAGAGTGAAGCATCTGATTTGCTTGTGGACTTTGTGCAATAGTGAAGGAACTGCCCATACTTTATGGCAGAGCTATTGGCTCCAGCTGACGGTTCAGCAGATGCCCACAAACACACAATGTCAGCACTTTACCAAGCCACAAAACTGACAAGGATATCAATACTGTCCATCGAATAAGCAGGTCTAGGTAGATGCTGTGACAAATGCTCCAGAAAAACTGATGAGCTGACGTCGGGAGTGTCTACTAGCTTGAGGAACAACAGTGGATGGGAGTGTTTCTAGCTTGAGGAACAACAGTGGACGGGAGTGTCTACTAGCTTGAGGAACAACAGTGGACGGGAGTGTCTACAAGCTTGAGGAACAACAGTGAACAGGGGTGTCTTCTAGCTCGAGGAACAGCAGTGGACGAGAGTGCGTACTTAGGATAGCTAAAAGTTATAGCATACTTTCTTTGGAATATTTATGTCAGTTTGTTTAGTGTCTATAAATCTGCTGCTTGTGAACTGAAGTTACAATCCATCAGTTTGTTTGGTGTTTATAAATCTGC